TTCCCTCTGTTGCAACATGAGCTGAAAGCTATTTATTCCCTTGTTGCTGAGGTTGGTTGAGGTGAGTGCAAGATGAATTCAGCTATTAAGGAAGCAATTAACATTTCAAGACGAGTTTTCATAGTTCTTTGTATTAAATGAATAGCTTTTTGAAGATATAGATTTAACTGTTTTAGTATAGCGATGTGGAAAGGAAATTTGTACAGAATATGTTCAAAAACTTGCTTTTGTTTTCCAGCATATAATAAATTACTGTTGCATGATTTGCAAATCCAACCTCACCTGTCTGTGTAGCAACCTTAATATTTAAGATAATCATTTTGGATACTGTTTCCTACACAGCTGAGGTTTACTAACCTTAGATCAACAATACAGATCCTATAATACTGTATTTGTATTCCCCTCATCCTGTTCTGGGGGTGTTTCACTGCTCATCTTCCCCAAACTTGTCTCTAAATTGTATATGAAATGACTCCCTTTCCCTGAGAACTGAAGCATCGTCTGTAGGCACTTCTACAAACGGTGAAGATGGCTTCTGTAATTGCAGTACCCAAGTCGCCACATCTCTAGGATGTACTTCCTTGCTTTCATCAGTTTCAGGCAGCTAAAGATTGGTATCTAGTATGTATTGTTAATTTTTGTGGGTGTTTTGGGTTTGTGGGTTTTCTTTGTTTGTTTTGGCTTTTTTGTTGTTTTGTTTTTTAACTTTCTGATAATTAAGTGTTCTGATAATTGTTTTGAGGCTCTTTTAAACATACCCTTCCTTTGTTAAATGTGTGCCTTGCATTTAATTTCTCTTAGTGTCTCTCAGGGCAAATTTTGGATACGAATTTTTGGTTGAAGTTTGTATGTTGTTAGTAAGAACAAGGAAAGCATGTCGCAAAGTGGAGTGACAATTTATAAAACGTGATCGACTTTGCTATTGTCTTAAATTAAAACCACAGACTTACATGCTTACCCATTAGCAGCAACACTTACTTGCTTTGCAAAACAGTTTAATGGAGCTCAGGACTTGTGTAGGACAGCGTATAAAATAAATAACCCGTGCCCCCGTGCCCCCCCTGAAGAAATGGAAGAATTTAACTTAAGCTAAATTTGATCTTACTCATCTTTACTCAAGATGGCTCGCTAAACCTTATTTTGCTTTCAGTTGGTAAATATTGTCATGTTTTGCCTATTCTTGATAAATGAAACAGCAGGATTTGGGTAGTTTTTTTTAAATTTTAGCATAGAGGTGTCCAAATAGATGTTGGAAAAAGAAGATACTTCTATAGCTTCTCTATCAAATATCTTGTGTCTTTAGATCTTTAGTTGCAAGAGAACTGTTAAGTTTTCTGCCTGTTTTTGCCTTTTGTTTGCTTTGTTTTCTTGGGGAAGTGTGTTTCTACTTGTCTTGCAGGTTTTGAACATTAAATTGTTCTTAATGTGTGAAGATGCAAACTTAGATGCTTTTTTAGAAACAACAGTATGTATGTGTGACAACTGACGTACCATTTTAGCATGTTATGTTTCTTTTTCTGATGAATGCAAGAATATCAAGGGGCAGGGTGGTATATAGTGATGCAGGAGGCACGCAGTATTTAACATAAGTATCTGTCCATGATTACAAAGAGAAGCGATGGAGAGGGCAGCAGGTGTTACAAAGAAGAGACATGAAGAGAGCTGGCTTCAACCAATATCCCACCCAATATCTCACCTGTACCAAAGAGCTTCAAGTTTTAGTTCTGGAAGAGCTGTCGTAAGGGGATTTGTTACCTTCCTGTCTCTTCACCTTATTTTTTCCTCCTGGCTGACGTGAGAGCCTTGAAGGGAGGTGGCATTATTGCAGCTCCAGGAGTGCTTGGGAGGTAGCATCTGCACATGCTAGAAATAAAAACAAAATATAATGCAGCACTGCTACAAATGAGGTCGTACCATCTGTGTTACACCTTCTTAAGTAAGGTTTAGATGATGTAATTTGGGAAGAGCACACTGTAGTAGATAATCAGGTGTAATCTTTTGCGGCAGATGCTGAAATGGTTCACTTCTTGCATTAGCTTTTAAGTTTTTGTCAGAAGGGATGTGCTTGAGGAAATAAACTGGTGTGTTCCTGTGGTGTGTGTTGCAGATCGCACTGAGAAGCATTCCACAATGCCAGACTCACCTGTGGATGTGAAGACACAATCCAGGCTGACGCCTCCAACCATGCCACCTCCTCCCACTACCCAAGGAGCTCCAAGAACCAGTTCATTCACGCCCACAACGTGTAATTAGACTTATTTTCTTCCTTTTCTTCCATATTCTTTCTATTCTGTATGTAAGAAACCAAAAAATGTAAAGGGAAACCTGCATGACATGGCAGGAGCAGCATTTGGTTGTACTACGATAAAGTAATTAAGCAAAACTAAGATCACAACAGATTAATGCATCTTTAAGGTATTAAGACATTCAGCTCAGAGTTGTGTTGTTATTTCGTTGATAACTTGGCCGCAGCGTCAAAGAACAGTGAACACTGGTTTCCCATGTACTTAATGCTCGCATCAGTCCTTCTGTGAGAAGTATAGAAAACTGTCTTCTCTTTTATGCCATTCTGTTGTTTAAAGGATCCTGTTCCTTTTTGTATAGAAACTTTGGGGGTTTTGTTTGTTTATGTTTTTAAAGTGGGGTTAATTCATAAAGAAAATACTTATCTTCATCCCGCTTGTGACTGAATGAATAATTCTGATTTAAGTGCTATACAATGTCTAGTTAATATTGATATAAAACAAAAAATAAAGGCCTTGTATTGTTTTATCTAGAGATTTCTAGTCTGTGACCACTTCTCTAAATCACTTGGGGCTGCATCTCTGTCTCAATTTATGATGTAAACAAAAAACTACTAGTCTTGACGGAATTACTCTGCATTTCTATCAGCGTAACTGAGATTTGAATCTGGCGTGGTGTCTGGGCTATTCTTTTCACAGCCGTGAAATGATCCACATTTCTCTTACCAAGATTTAGCTGCAATTTTTTTGATCTCTTTTATACTGCTTTGTAATAGTATAAACATGAGAATGTGTTTACATTTCACACTTTAAATAAAACATTTTTAGAACAGTAGAATACATATGCCTAAACAGAATGAAGACAGCATCTTCTATTTCTCTTGCCTATGTCTGTTTAGTCCCTTTCTGTCTGTTAAAAGCCTTATTTAAGATTCACCTCTATGCAGAAGGCCAGCTGGAGGCCTTTGTACTGCTTATCCCAGGGAACCCTGTTCTGACGATTTAGATCGAACTTAAACACTGAGGAGAGTTTGTGCCAGCTTCGCATAAACTCAAATTTAACCCAGCAACCCTGATCCCGCAAAGATTTGTCTGTTTTGCTTAACTCCAGCACCTGAATCATCCTAAGAGCTGCTCCAGTCTAAAGTTAAGTTGTTCCTAGGTTTTTGCAGGATGGGGATCTTGCAGATTAAGCTTTCCAGTGTGATGCACTTTGCACAATTCCGAGTAATCTTTGGCAATCATAAAAAGAATGGGATGATGTTCTTTAATCACTCTTATAACCCTCAGCATACTCACAGGATTTCTGGATGTTTGTTTATTTGATTTGGTTAGCACTTTGGAAGGTGTCTAAACCAAAAGTCTAAAAAAATCTAATTTTAATTGCCTTTTACCCTGTCAGATTTTGGAGTTTGGCCTTAGCGGTTCCGTCTTGTTCAGTAAACAGTCACTGCTGTTGGAGTGTCCGTTACATTTATTATTACTACGGCGGGAATGCCTGTAGGCTGGGAAGATCATACTTGTTTTTCTGGTGAAGAGTGTGCTTGTTTTCTTTGGTTTAGACAATGAAAAACTCTTGACATATATTAGTTTGAAATTTTAAATGCTAAATTCTGTTTTACTAATAACATGGTTCTGTTTTAGAAATAGCATAGATCTTTGCCAGTTGACAAATTCAGATATTATAAAGAAAGAGATAAAATCATTAGTATGGGATGGACTATTTTAAAAAAAAAAAGTTTTAGAGAAGCTGCATTTGGGGGCTATTTCTAAATTTATTTTGTTGTGGGAGAAATTTTACCCAACTTTCTCCTCCTCATATCTATCCTAGGTAATGAACTCTGCTGTTCTGTGCTTTCTTGGTGATAGCCTCAGGACCTTCTGCTTAGAGCAGCCCCTTACTGGTGGCTGAGTTGTTGGGTGGTGTCAGGGTAGAACAAGACATGTTCTTATTCTTCCCAGTCCTCATTTACTAAGTTCATGCTATGATGACTTTTGGCTATGCAAATTCCTTGCAATCACGATGTATTTGTTTACTCGGATACCTCACTCTACTGCAGCGCTCAAAGAGCATGACTTGGAGCTGCATGTGGCGCTGAACTTGGTGAGGCCAGCTTCTTTCTATTTTTGCTTTTTCCACTTGTTCTCCATAGCCCACACAACGAGTATAGCCAACCCAAAACTAGGATAAAAAGCAAGCAGAAACTAGGTAACCATTCAGAGAGCCTTTTCTGTAGTACCTCCAGAAGAGCACTTCAGTCAGTAGGGCAAAACTCCTTCAGAAGTATTGCGGTAGTGATTTAAATCTTCTAATAGGCATCCACCCTCTTTTTAGACTTGCTGTCTAAAAATAAAGATGAATGATGGAGAAAGTGACAAAGAGAAAGGGATGTTTGGCTTCAGTGAGGCCGGTCATTAAGAAACATTGAAAGTTGTTTAAGTTGCTAGCTTGCCATGGTTATGCTTTTAAATAGGAAGCAATTTAGAGTAATACTCCTATGCATTTTGATTGTAGACAAGTTCCTGAATTTTGATGTTTTTTGGGGTGGGTTCTGAGTGACTTCCCAAAAAGAAGTCAGCAAATTTCTCCAGGGCAATGGCCAGCTGAGCACGGCTGCTGCTGGGTGCAGTCGCATGCTGCCGGTGTACTGGTACACACGTATTCCTGGGGAACCATCCTTTTTCTTGCCGTTCACTGTCATTTTGGCGAGCCATACTCAAAACAGTCTTGACAGAGTATGTTTGACTGTTGGTACTCCAAGTAACCTGGGTAGAAAAGGATGTCCTCAGTTTGATTCTCTGCTCTCTTCTGGAGTGTGGATGAGAATCAAACTGAAATTTCTGCCAAAAACTGTCTGTTGTCTTCAGTATGTCTGCATGAATCTTGTTGCCATAAATTTTGAACACTTAGTACTTTAGATAATTATTCTCACGGCAGCCTTGCAACAGGAGGGAGATGCTTTCTTATTCTTTTTAGAGATACAGTATTGGCACATGAAAGCAGAGTGATTTGCTTGTGGTCTCGGAGAAGTCTTCTGAAGTCTAGCTTCATGCCCTAGCTGTAAGGCTTCGGGCCACAGTGAGCACAGCACCATTTGTACCTGCGCAAACAGCTTTGTGCGCTCCATATGTTAGCAGCTAGGAAATCTGTATCAGAAGAAATAACCTTCTCATTGGGTGGTGTAAGGTTAAAACGTGAAAGTCCTGTTTTATAAACACAGCTGTCAGTTGTGTGTACAAAACACAAGTAAAAATATTCAGAGATAAACTGAGGCTTCGTGAAATATGTCTGCACGTTTTTTTCTACCCCAAAGAGCAATTTTTTTTGTCTTCAGTCATACATGCACTCATGTTCTTTCTGTCTCTGTTTCCCTTTCTCTCTTCTTAAAATTATCTGACAAAAGGCTGGTGTTCAAATGATGCTTTTCAGGTCTAGGAGCATTTTGAGGGAGCTATGTGAGAGGCAGCTGCTGTTACTTCAAGTCCATACACCGTTCAGTACCAGCTACCGGGAAATAAACTGCAGAGTGTTGCTCTGTCAAAAGGCTAATTATCTTTGATTGTACAACTTAATTAATTTTGAGGTCAAGCACAGAAAACATAAGCTGATGGATTTTCCCCTCTGTCTTCTTTCTCTCTCTCCGCGCGCCCCCCCCCCCCCTTTTTTTTTTTCTTCCATTAACCAATGGCACTAGCCATTCACCAACAGCGTTAAATGGAGCTCCATCTCCTCCTAATGGCTTTAGCAATGGGCCATCCTCTTCCTCTTCCTCTTCTCTGGCTAACCAGCAGTTACCACCAGCTTGTGGAGCTAGGCAACTCAGCAAACTGAAGAGATTTCTTACAACCTTACAGCAGTTTGGCAATGACATTTCACCAGAGATTGGGGAGAGAGTACGTACCCTTGTGCTAGGACTTGTGGTAAGCAAAAAACCAATGATATAATAACTGTGATATTTTTCTCTCTTTTTCCCTCTTTTATGCTTGACATGTTTATTATATAAAAGAATGGGTCACATCCACTGCACATACCATACTTTAAGGATACCAAACATGCGAGAATGAAGTGCTGGCTCTTGCTGCTGGAGCTAACATGAGTAGCTTGACTAGCCTCCCCTGAGCGACAGCTATTCCCAACCAGATACAGACTTGACTCTTTTTGCCAGTATAGTGTTATGCTGTAATGGTGTGAAAGGGTTTTCATTCTATACTGGCATACCTTGAATTATATAATGTAGTAAAATATGGTTTGGCTTGCCTCCTTTAGTTGGCGGGGAAAAGGAGCGTGCCCTACATATAGAGTGGCAGAATACTGGTTAAAAGGATGAGCTGAATGTGTGTTTGGACTGCAGTTACGCAGTGGAAAACCTTTCTCAGTATTCATTGAACCCAACAATGAGAGACCTGACGATCCATTACTGCTACTTAGGTCACCTTATTTATAAAGTTATCTTTATGCAATTATATGGCTGAATGAAAATTTCAGCTCTTTCTTACCCACATCTGTCAAGTTGGGCTGCTATTTTACAGGCAAACTGTTGTGAATCTGGCCCAGGATTCTTCTTATTCCCAGTAAAGTTCTCTGTACAGCAGACATTGTTGTCTCACATGTATCTCCTTCAGCGATAATTAGATGTACCAGGAAAAATGCTGTTGTGGTGCTCTAATTTACGTCTGTTCTTAGCAGCTGCAGTTGCCATTGACTTCATTTGGAGCAAAGACTGCCAGCACTGTTTGGTACTAGGGCTCAGGCATCCTTTGCTTGTATCTTCAGAAAACCCTACCTGACAGCAGTGGGTGCCCCTTCATTTGGGTCTGTGTCAAAAGGAAGTTTAATGTAGGCAGTGTAACTTCAGTAAGTCTTACCCTCCACTTGCTTCCATATAAAATGCCCGTTTAATGTGGTTTTGCTTGTCACATGTTTCTCTGTGGAAAGGGGAACTGGTAAAGAAACCAAAGACGGCTTTGGAAGCACCTACCTGCCCTTGATTTTCAGATCAAAAGTGCTTGCCCACTGTTAATTAGAGTTGATTTCTACCCTCATCTGAGCTCTGAGAAGCAAGTAAGGATCTTTTCCTTGGGAGTGTCCACATATCACGTTATTCGCTTGGTCAACCCTATGTAGCATGTGGTCTTCATGATTATGCCCTCAGCTGCAAAGTAATGACTTTCCTACATAGCCTAGAACATAATAAACAGTCCTCTTCATAAGTTGAAGAGGCAAAGTGCAGTTTTCCTCCTCAAACAACAAGACATA